ATAAGCCTTTGGCATGTCATCACTGTCTGCATGCTGATGTGAATCTGTTAAATCGAAACTAAGAGTGATCAGAGCTTCACAGGTGAGCAGGCCTATTCTTATCCATAGGTGAAGGGTTACACTGCCCTTCCCTAGGTCACTGCCTCTCCCTGTAAGTCCTATCTGGACCTACCACTAAACTGAGTGTCTGTCTCCCTTTGACCTGAAGATATCTGTCCAAGGGGAAAGCAAGACCTTGTTCTTGCTATAAATGCCCACCACTGGCTCTGAAGAAACTGATTTCAGGACAAAGTAGACACTTGTGAGGGCTAGCCATGCCATCCACTTTTCCCACAAAGAGATCTCCTCTATCTTCCAAGAGGCCTGTGGGGCAAGCCTGTGCCCTGAGTGGTCCTGCTACTTGGTTTGAACAACATATTACAGTCTCCTTCTGCAGCAGGTGAAGTACCATATGCCCTCTGCAAGAGGCTGTTTATTCTCTAGGAGCTGGATGAGATGTTATCTCCTCCTCCTCCCCTTTTCCCTCCTTCTTTTCTACTTCTCCTTGCCTTATATTCTTTTCACATTATAACTGTGTGAAAGGCAGAGATGTAAAATAGGGGAAAGCAAAACTTCTCTAGCAGCTAACTTCTTTTTCTCCACTTCCAAACTCAGCCTTCCCACTTAGCTTCTCCCCACCCGACCCCATCTAAAGTAGCTCTTAAGAGCTTCTTGCAGCAGCTGGGAAAAACATGCTCCCCTCTACCCTACAAAAAAAAAAAAAAAAAAAAAAACCTGCGTTTTATTTTTTTCCAGCACTATCATTTTATAAGTCTATTATTCAGTTAAGACAAGATACAACAGATTCAGTAAATTTAAATATCTGGACTATTAAGAAGCATATATATATCTTAAATATATCTTAAACACATCCCTAGTTCTTGGTCTGTTTTCTGTTTCCAACAATAGCTGGAGAGGCACAGAAGGACCATGATCAAATTCCAAACAGGCCCAGAGGAGAGGGTAAGGTGGTTTAAAAAACAGAAAGCAGAATGGTGATTGCCAGGGGTTAGAGGAAGGAAAGAATGGGAAATTAGTGTTCAATGAATATAGGGTTTCAGTTTTGCAAGGTAAAATGAGTTCTGTGGATGGATGGTAGCACAATACAGTAGTATGAATGTACTTAATGCCATTGAATTCTACATATAAAAATGGTTAAGACGGTAAATTATATGTTATGTATATTTTACCACAATTTAAAATAATAATAATAATAATAATAATAATACCTGGAACTCATCTAGCCATTAAAAATAATGGTCGTTCAGACTTAGTAGCAACATGGATAAAAAGGCTTATGATAGTGTGAAGTTTTATTAAAAAGCGGGCAAAAATATTACATATAACTGTAATTATTTAAAACAAATCTATAGAAATAGTGGGGAAGACTGGCAGGAAATACATCAAAGTGCTAATAAAGGATGTGTCAAGTGGTACAACCTCCCTTTTCTATATTTTAAAAAGTTTTATATGGGTAAAAACTTTCCTAATGAAAAATTGTTCCTAATATTTAAAAATGTTTAAAACAAAGCAGATTCCTTCCTGGCCACAGGGATTTCTTCACATAACTTCATGTCCCCAGTAGACACTTAGAGAAATTTATACTGAAGAGTTATTGGTTTTTCATGTATTGACATCTATTTATTGAGTGCTATCTAGGTGCGGGCCACTGTTACAGGTAGTGGGGATACAGGATGAACTAGAAAAAGTCTCTACCCTCGTGAAAATTACATTCTAGTGGAAATTACATTGAGTGTTCAGACCTAACACTCAAATAACAAACCAAAGATACTAGATTTAGGAGGGTCCTCTAACCAATGCCCTGTGAATACTGAGGGATGACTGTGATGGCATTTTTATGTTGGGAGATCAGGAAAGGTTCAAAGGACATGAGATTTGCATTGGCATCTGAATGACAAGACCAGTCTTGGGAAGATTAGGGAAGATAGGTGAGAGAACTAATGCTAAGATGCTGAGCAGATACAACTGTGCCCAGTTTGAGGAACTGAAAGAGACCATTGTGTCTGGGAAGTGGTGGGCGAGGGAGAAAGTGGTATGAGGAGACATTGCCCTTCCTTCAGGAACTTATGGGGAAACAGTTCAGTCATCACATAGACAGCTTCTGACACCTCTCTTCTCGTGGCGCAAACCACAGAGGACTTCAAATTTACAATAGCCTACAGAGCAGAAAAAGCAGGACGTTTTCTTTAAAAAGTCTCCTTTTTTCTCCTCTAGGCTACATTTTCCTTATCTGTAATCAAAGGGATGGAATGGCAATATTAACCTCATAGAGGAGGCAGACATTAATGCATATCCCACAGAACCAGCCTGTGCCAAGAAATCCAAGTTGTTCTCCAAAATCAAGGCTTACTTATCCTTCCCAAACTCGAATTTCCCAGGTCCAATCCGAAGCAGACAGCCATTAAGCCACTTAGGAAAATGTCCCCAGACTCGAGCAGAGATGCCCCGTGGAGCCTCTTCCACTGTGGTCAGTAGCGGTGCAACACACAGCAGACCCCGACACTGCCCAAAGACGGCTTTTTTCTGATGCGTATTTCCCAGGTACCTTTTGAAAACTGTGCAGAGGAAACCAAAAGCACAAAAAATATTTTACCAAATCTTCTATAAACTTGCCTGTTTCACACAGACAATAATCTTATGAACTGGCAGCTTGAGGGAAACGTGAAGCTAACACCAAATACAGTCTCCCATTTCCTCTCTCTCCTTCCTCATTCTCAGACTATCAACGCTTTAGTTCTACATTTTCAAACCACAGCAACTCTTCTATTTTTTACAGTACTAATCTACCTAAGAATTAACTTGGGACTTCAGTTGCTATATTTATCATTTCTCATAGTTGAACAATGCCTGTTTTTTTACAAGAATAAATCTACATGCCAACCCTAGATGTGCTAAGACCAACCTTGTTGTTATAAAAATGACCACCATTCAATATTATCACAATTACATTGACTCCAATAATTTAGACATACCAACATGTGATTCCAAAGGTTTCATAGCAATTCCTGTAAATGTAATAATATCTTAAACTTAATTTCTTTTATTTTAATTGTATATATATGAATATATTAGGCATTTTCCAGCAGAAGGGTGTCAAAAATTAAATTATGCAGTGATATCCAGTCTGAAATTACCTAAAGTTCAAAAGGAACAAGAAGTAAAAATCATCTTTGTATAATAAGAAACGGAAATTTTTCCCTATTATTTTATCATACTGAGTGTTCACAAGGCAGTACTGCCTAACATAGAGGGTGGTCAAATAAATAATTAAGTGTTATAAAATAGAATTCTTTATTTTATCTCATAAAAGTTTAACAGTGATTCCAAAATCTAGACTAGAAAAATGTGCTAACACATTGGGACACCATTAAGAAGTGAGATTTGCTTTCTTTTAGCAAGTTACTACTATCCCATTTCTTTCAAATCTTTCAAAAATTCAGCTTGGAGCACATGAGACATTCTACTCTCCTATATGAAATATAACAATTAGTCAAACCTAATTCTTTCCTGATTTTTCAAATAAAATTCTCTTTAACCCTGAATATTTTTTCCAAAGTCCTTATTTCTAGTTCTAAGAAAATTCCAGTGGGGCACAGTGGCTCACACCTGTAATCCCAGCACTTGGAGGCCAAGGCGGGCAGATCATCTGAAGTCAGGAATTCAAGACCAGTCTGGCCAACATAATAAACCCCATCTCTACTAAAAATACAAAAAATTAGCTGGGCATGGTGACAGATGCCTGTCACCCATGTCATCCCAGCTACTCGGGAGGCTGAGGCAGGAGAATCACTTGAACCCAGGAGGCGGAGGTTGTAGTGAGCCAAGACCACACCATGGCACTCCAGCCTGGGCAACAAGAGCTAAACTTTGTCTCAAAAAAAAAAAAAAAAAAAGGGCAATTCCATTAATTGGTCAAGGTCTTTCTCCAGTGTTACAATACTTCCCTTAAGAGGCAGCATAGTGTAATATTTAAGGGTGTGAGCTGGGCCTCTACTTGGTTTCAGAGTGGTTGGTTTCAAATGTGCCCTCTCCCAAATAAGGAGCCTTGAGAAGGATACTCATCACTTCTCTGTGGTCTGTTTTCTCTTTTCTAAGGTGAAGATAATGATAGTTCATATTACTTCTAAGGCTGTAATAAATAAATTAGTTTACATAAAGCTTTTAGAACAGAATACTCAAAAAATGCTATTATTATTTTTACATAGCTTTTAATGATCAGTCCAATAATATCTTCATTTTATTCATTTGGCAAAGTACTTGGTACTGCTGAGGGATAAAAAGCATTAGAACCCTGAAATTAAAGAAACTACTGCCTAGTAAACATATCACTGACACTATAAGTGTTTTATTTCAACATTGTTTCTCAGAGTCTGGCATGAGGACTACTTGAAACAGAAATACCTGGTGTTATTGCTAAAATGCCATTTCCTGGACTCCATTCTGGTCCTAATAAGTCAGAATCTCTAGAGAGAGGCAAGCAGGTATTCTTAGGCATACTAAAGTCAGGGAGCTACGGTGTTAGAACAAAGCAGGGCTGGGCACAGTGGCTCACCCCTGTAGTCCCAGCACTTTGAAAGGCTGAGGTGGGAGGATCACAAGGTCAGGAGATCAAGACCATCCTGGCCAACATGGTGAAACCTCGTCTCTACCAAAAATACAAAAATTAGCTGGGCATGGTACCACGTGCCTGTAGTCCCAGCTACTTGGGAGGCTGAGGCAGGAAAATCACTTGAACCCGGGAGGCAGAGGTTGTGGTGAGCCAAGATCATGCCACTGCACTCCAGCCTGGTAACAGGGCAAGGACTCTGTCTCAAAAAAAAAAAAAAAAAAGGAAGCACAAAGAGGATGCTTTGAAAAGATAGTGAAGGAAATTCTCAGGTATTTATCTTACTTTACTTTTATTAACATTATGCATATTTATCTTATTCTCAGATTAAAATAAATTCCCAGAGGTCACATACGTAATTTACTCATCTCACTTTTTAAGTAAATTGAATAGCCTGATTGGGCATTTGTCTAAGTAGAGATACACGAATTTAAAGCATTTTACATTGAAGAAAATATTTACATGTCTATATCTTCTACACCCCACACCATGCTGTTGGTAATCTACTACATGCTCTTCAAAGTTTCCATACAATTTGACATTAACACTTTCTTAAACTCCTTTCTATTTGTAGCTTCTGAGACATTTTCCTAGTCTAACTTTCCCACTGCCCTGTAACTACTCTCTGCATTATGCTAGTTTTCTTACTTGGTAGCTGACAATCTTGAAGTTACTTAATGCCTCTGAGCCTCAGGTTTTTCAGTGATAAAATGGAAATAAAAGGAAGTCAAAATTTCCTATTTATGTCTGTTGTCATAATCAAATATAAAGATAGTAGATGCTTTCCAAATCTCAATTCCCTTTATGGGCTCCTTGTCCCCCTTATCACTTCATGAATGTTCCTAAAGTCTTACCTTCAATCTTTACTCTTTACTCTTTACCCAGCACTCTCCCTTGGCAATCTCATCTAATCTCTTAATTTCACCAATTACTTCTTCTTGCTGGTGACTCTCAACAAGTCAAGATAGAATTTTTAATTTCCCCCCTTCCAAATCAATTTTCTTCACCTAGGATATTTCCCAGTTCCTTCAGATGAAATTCACTCACCTAACTCATCCTTCAAGATTCAGTTTCCATGTCATTTGCCTTATAAACACAGCATTCCCCTTACCTACAGCAAGAACTGATTCTCCTTAGTCTGAACTCACAGCATCTGCTTATAGTTCTCATATGGACCTCATTTCAACTGTCTTGAGTGATAAATGATACTACCAGTACTCCTTAAGTACAAGGTCTGGTATTTGTCTCCTTTCTCCCTCCAGTAAGTAATACATCCCCTTGCATACTGCAAGCATTAAATTATTAAATTAAGTAATTTTAAAATTTATAGTGCATATTAGTATAATTTCTAAAAGCTCTAGATCAGCCAATTTCAAGAAATAAAATCATGTAACAATAGTAGCTATAATAGAACGCTATAAAACAATAAATGATTTTTAAGGCAGTCCCCCAAAATGCAAATAGAGAAACCAAACATTTACATTGGAACATGTGGCAGCGATTTTTGAATTTAGAAAAGCCTAAATATTGAATATTCTTCTTATTGCTAATCCAAAAGAATCTGAAGCCCCTGAATCCTGCCCTAAATACTGTATAACATATACAAATGTTACTGGAGGATCCTTGAAAAATAGAAAATAAATAAATAATAAAAATAAAAATAATCATATACAAATGTGAAGGCTGTTTCCCTGACCATGAGGAAACAATCCTAACAGCCTTCCTTAACTTCCGGGGCTCTGCGGAGTTGCTGTCTAATCTGATCCACACAGGATGAAAAGCTTCAGAAGCTCACAGCAATGCTCAGGAAAGCAGCACAGAACTCCAAGTGCGGACTGGCAAGAAGAGGAGGATGAGGAAGAGAAAGGGGCAAACCCCCTACCTGGGAGCCGGTGCACCATCACAGGAAGGAAATCCACTGCAGTGGTAAAAAGACTCCCCATAAAACGGAGAAAGACTCGGAGAAACATTTTCGTATTGAGCAGATCCCGTGATTTCCAAATCCTCCCACACTGGCAGTTTTGAGTACTACTAAACAACGAACACGCACCGAACTGCCTGGACTATGTCTTCCTCACTGACGAGTCGAGGTGAGTAGGAGGCTAAGGGGGCGGGGCTTATTTCCATGACAACAGTCCCAACAACCTATCTATAATAAGCAGCTGTTTGACCACCAATAGTGATCTCCCCCTCCCTAAACTTTTCTTTTTCAAATCTGTTCTCACGCTATAGTTAAGTTCGATTATCTTGATCCACAACACCAATTTTATTATGCCACTCCTCTCCTCTGGAAGATTCTAACACGGAGTAAAGTCCAAATTTACACTGCAAGTAGACGACTCTACAATCTGGCAACAACTTAACTTTCATTCTTCTCTGCCTTTAAATCACTTCGTCCTTCCTTTTCTTTTCTGTTCATTAATTTTACAGAAGGTTTTCTGACAATCTAGCATGAGTGAAAGTATGCCCTTAAAATATATATGGCTTTATTAATTTAACATTTTTAGCACCAATGTATCAAATACTGTGCTACAAAGTAAGAATACCAAGAAACAAGATTGTCCCCTGCTCTCCAGGCGTTTAGAAGACACACTTATTCCCCTTCATGAATTATCATCTTAGCAACGTGACTAACATACCATAATGTGTTTTTTTCTGTGCCACTGAAGAAATTTTTCCCCTGCCTGGAATATCCTCTTTCCTTTTCAAAAATCCAATTAAAATCTACCTCTCTGACTCCCTTGCCAAAAGGTCTTCTAGTAACTCCCACAGCACTGCCACAGAGTTGCTTTTAACATTAACATATCATGTCTTCCTAGCAAAGTCGTAAGTGTATTTCAAGAAAGAAGTAGTTAAAATTGTCAGAAGGCAGTGTCTTAATACATCTAGCACATTACAAAGATGGTTCAGTATATATTTTGATTAGTAATCAATGAAAAATAACTTATAAACTTCTGAGATTTTATTGAAATATTAAAGAGCAACATTAGAAGTGTACATTAAAGGGCAATGGTGTTCCTGCAATAGCATTTCTCCAGTTGTGAGGTAATTATTATTATTTTGAGACAGGGTCTCGCTCTGTCACCCAGGCTGGAGTACAGTGGCAAAATCTCAATTCACTGCAACCTCCGCTTCCCAGGTTCAAGGGATTCCCCTGTCTCAGCCTTCTGAGTAGCTGGGACTACAGGTGCAGGCCACCATATTCGGCCACTTTTTTTTCTTTTTAGTAGAGACAGGATTTCACCATGTTGGCCAGGCTGGTGTCAAACTCCTGACCTCAAGTGATCTGCCTGCCTTAGCCCCCCACACTGCTGGGATTACAGGTATGAGCACCACGCCCGACCAAGATAATTATTCTTGTCTATGTGGATGGTACCAAAGCCATCCAAATTTGATTTAAAAAATAAGCCTTAATTACTAGGCTTTCAGGGACCTTTATACTAGAAGGTATAAACAATTCTGAACAGTAAATACATTGTGACTTAAAATCACTTCTCCAGGCTTAATCATATCAAACGAAATGATCAAATCAATTTTCTGAACCCGCAAAAGAACTAGATGTTGAACAATGGTGATACCATCAGGATATAATAAGTATATTATGAAATCTAGTCTGAAACAATCTGTTGGCCTTATTTTTCACATTAACAACAAATGCTTAGAAAAAGTTACTTGAACATTTCTTAATGAAGGTAGATGGAAATCCAGGTGACATGTCATATTAACTCACAAATCTTCTGGTTGTATTTAGTTTTTCTTTTGGCCAGGCGTGATGGCTCACACCTGTAATCTCAGCACTTTGAGAGGCTGAGGTGGGTGGAGCACCTGAGGTCAGGAGTTCAAGACCAGCCTGGCCAACGTGGCAAAACCCGTCTCTACTAAAAATACAAAAATTAGCCAGGCATGGTGGCAGGCACCTGTAGTCCCAGCTACTGGAGAGGCTGAGGCAGAACAATCGCTTAAACCTGAGAAGCAGAGGCTGTAGTGAGCTGAGATTGTGCCACTGCACTCTAGCCTGGGCAACAGAGCAAGACACCATCAAAAAAGGAAAAGAAAAAGAAAGGAAAGGAAAGGAAGAAAGAGAAAGAGAGAGGGGAAGGGAGGGAGGAAGGAGGGAAAGGGGGGGAAGGAAGGAAGTGGGGAGAGAGAGTGAGAAAGAAAGAAAGAAAGAAGAAAGAAAGAAAGAAAGAAAGAAAGAAAGAGAAAGAAGAATGAAGAAAGTAAGAAAAAGAAAGAAAGAAAGAGAAAAAGAAAAAGAAAGAAAGAAGAGAGAAAGAAAAAAGAGAAACAGAATTCTTTCTTTTGTTTAGAGGCAGAGTCTCACTCTGTCACCCAGGCTAGAGTGCAGTGATGCAGTCATAGCTCACTGCAACTTCAGACTCCTGACCTCAAGCCATCCTCCCACTTCAGTCTTCCAAGTAGCTAGGATTAGAAATGGCAGCCACTGCACCTGGCCAAAAAAAAGAAAAAATTATTTCTAATAGTTACTTTGTTGACCTCCAACCTATTCTGTGCCACCGCCTCTATCAACCCAGTAATTTTTTCCACTTAACCAATTTTCTTTAGCAATTATTATTTTATTTCCTTTTGTTATCTTTTCTTATCTGAGTATTTATGTCATATGATATTTATGCCTTAAAATAGTAATTTGATTTACTTGGTATATTCTCCAGAGTTATTGGTAAAAAGAAAAACAAAACAAAACAAAAAATAGTAATTTGATGAAATGAGATTTTATTTTAGAGTTCAGAAGGCTGTCTCCCTTCATAATAACAATTCCCTGTAGTACTATTTGCAATTTTCTGATCGCTTATATTGGAAAAATATACATGCAATAAACTGAACTGTCTATATGATTGAAAAATGGGTGCTATAGTGTTTAAATACCTGGTTAATATAGCTATCCCATATAGTAATATATGATATAGAAAGTTTTCAGTAAAATCCTAGTAGTACTTTACATCAAAGGGATAATTTTTTTTTTTATCTAGATGAGTAGTATAGCTCCTCCAGTCCAAATTGAAGTGACCTCCCAAAGTCATCCTGTTGTTTAAGCCAATCTATTTACTTCTGGATCACTAATCTTTATCCCATACCACACTGCTGTTAATGTTTCTAAATATAATTCATTAACTGCACATGTTCATGTAGTTGATGTGTAAAGAAGCCAACTCATACAAGGTTCTGGTGAGTAACTCTGGTTTTTATTTTACTACTTTTACTACAAGAAAATCATTTTAAGCCAAGACTTTTTATTAGCCATACATAATAACTAATAGTGAAAATAATCAAATAGAAATAGCACACAGTTATGTCATTATACTCTAAGAAACTGGAAAAAATCACCTATAAGGTTTTAATCTTCTTTTATAATCCTGACCATAAAAAAATTCAAAATTGACTCAAAAATGAGCTGATATTTAAATAAAATATTCTAAAAGAAAAAGTATAATATTAAACATTATAAATTAATTGAATCCTTTTTTAGAAGTTTAAGAAACACTAGGAAGTTTAAGGAAAAAATAAAAGAATCCACGTAAGATTAAATAATTACATTTCTATAAAATGCACTAAATGTTTGACCCTCAAAAGAAAAATGATGTAGTTCATGTTAATGTCCAGCTTAGGACATTAACATGAATATTAATATTAACATTAAGGAATTTAAAAGTTCCTTTTTAAATCTAGAAAAGAATTTCAAGGAGTTTCCCCTTCTCTGTTCAAAATACACATTTTCTTTAACAACTAGAGAACTTTCAAAGCATAAATGTCATTCTTTCATTGTAACAATAAGAAGTTTGAATTCTCAACTTATTTCAAGTGTATATTTTATCTGTGTAATGTGTTTGCAATCACTGTAAACCTCTGTCGCAGGAACTCTCTTTTTTGTATCAGAAAGTTTTCAATAGTATTGGCTTCTTTGAAGAGTTCATCTATCTCATCAATGTAAGATGCATCTACTGCTGCTCTCTCACTAATAGGAAAAAAAGTTTTGTATTAAACTAGGTAGTTATAAACACCATCATTATGTTCTTCATTACACTATATTTGTTAATTATTTCATTTAAATGGCTTTATGTAACACGGAACTTCATTAATTTACTAATATTCTTCAGGAAAAAAATTAGTCCCACAAATATTTTTGACTACTCAAAAAGGTCTCCTGACACAGCAGAAATCTTATATGTTATAAGATTATATGTATCGCCAGGCGCGGTGGCTCAAGCCTGTAATCCCAGCACTTTGGGAGGCCGAGGCGGGTGGATCACGAGGTCAAGAGATCGAGACCATCCTGGTCAACATGGTGAAACCCCGTCTCTA